CCAAATCTAAGAAAATTCATATCCAAACTAAAGTGAAAGCACGGAGTGACTTAGTGTGAGATCGAGTGATGGCGAGAAAGAGAGAAAGAGAGTGAAGATAAAGTCATAAAGATGGGTTGTGTCTAAATAAGTTATGAACCCATTTAATACCCATATTAAACCAATTTATGACCCATAGTGTCGGGTCTAAACCCATTTATGACCCACTTATTGAATATAACATATCTATATAATAACACGGCTCATCAAATATGGGTAAAAAATGGGTTTATGATCCATTTTAACAAAACTAACTAAGCTATCAATTTGAGTTGAAGTACTTATTCGTGACACAAATAGCAATGTCCATTCTTTCTTATGCGAAATTGAATTCTCTTTCTAAGAATGATGGATGGTTCATGTCTCTGACATTACAAGAACTATAACTGTCGGTCGCTTTATCTTGTAATTGCATTGCTCAAAACATCATAACCCCTGTTAGGCTATCCCTATAGCTTATGTCATGTTCATTGCACGTACGTCGAACATCGAGTGGCAGGTTGTATAGTATCTCTCAGGCATTCCTTCGAAGAAAGTTCGGGACAATAACAAGAGGAGTTCCAAAACTTTCATTTCATGTATTTAATTCCTAAAACTTGTCATAAATCATCCGCTTCAATCCGTTCTTTAGCTCCTTTAGGTTTGAGTGGACACAAAACTTCACGTGGCCTTTTCTATTTATTGAAAATCACATGGGATTGAAACAATAAATGAAAAAACCCACATGGCGTATTTTTGTCCATTGGAAACTAACGTAATTAACGGAAGGGCTCAAAGTGCATCGAAATCACAAGTTTAGGATTTATTAAATGCACGAAGTGATAGTTTTAGAATTTGAATGCATTATTTGTGACAAATTTTAAGATTTGGCATGCAACTGTCCCAAAAAGGTTCAATCGAATAACTAATGTTATAGGGACAAATTTTCGGCCAACCCTTTCCGAGGACTTTATCATATGATGCTTTAACATAACATAGACGAATTACACAGTGCCATTAGATAAATGGACTTATGAAATTGATTGTTACCTTACTAACTCTAGGCTCAGAGACAGAGAGAGATAGAGATCATACTTAAAATTCAGATTAAGAGAGACATCTTAGCAAATTAAATAGCTAGCTACAACTCACGAGTCTAATATCTAGAGGGGTTGGCGACATGTAGGGCAAGTAGACTGAGAAAGTAGCCACTTATCAATGCAACCAACATGGAACCTGTGGCTGCATTTGGGAAGCACCCTCGTGTCCTCTCCCGGCGAGAAATCCATCAGGCAAATGGCGCAAGCTAAGGGCGACGAGCACGATGGCGATGAGCCCGAGCTCGCATAAGTTGACGTCGGTAGAGCCACCAAATCTTTCTTCTTAAGACCCGGGGCCGACCGGCGAGATGCCTCCACCCATTCGATCGGCTCTTGGACCAAACGCTGGGTGCATTGTACGACGCATTGTAGCATGGAGTTAAGACCGAGGGCGCACACTAGGGCGCACAGCATGGCGACGATTATCACCATGATGTTGAAGTCGATCGCCGCCTCATCGAGCTGGCCGTCCCCGGACGGGGTCGGGCTAGGGCTAGGAGAGGGGGGTGAAGTTTCATCCATATGGGTGAGTTCAATGTGAAGACTAAACTAGGGGGGTTTGTGGATGTCTTGTGTGTGGGAGAAGAGATGGGGAGAAAGGGTGGGAGGGGGACACATAGTACATGCAAATAAAGGGAGGAGATGAGGTTCACTTGAGCATTTGTTGTACTCTTGTAAAAGTTGGCATGGGGATATGCTTATCTGATCATTCCACTTTGCTCCCTTTTGATTTTCATTGGGTGTTCTTGGAACGAGAGATGGACATAGGCATCTTTTCTATACATCTCTCATTTGATGCCGACTTTGATCATGTAGAATAGCATTGGTTTTCAATGGGTCATTTCCCTCAAGTTGTCGGAACATCAAATAATTGGCAAAGAGAATGTTGTTCCGAGGGCCATTTAATCACTGAACTTTTTGGTTTTATTGGTTGAATCACCCTTCTCTTTTCTAGAGCATGTGGGGAAAATCGATTTTTTTTCCCATTAATTATGATCTCGATATAACTAAAGGATATATATGTGGATTGGCATACTATAAAGTAACAGAATGACCCGTTCGATCAAAATAACTTGTGTTTTGATGAAATTTACTCTGAGTATCAAACTAGTCCGGAACATTTATCTTTCTCTTTTGCCGACCCCTCTACTGCAAATCCAATTGAGTCGCCGCCCCTGCTGTGGTAGTGCTGCCGCCTGATCGCGTGACCATCGCCCTCACACCTCCTCGTCATCAGCCGAGCCCTTATTGTCCACGAAGAGAGAATGCAGAATACACGGCCTCTAGCATGGCGACCCCGGAGGCCGCGGCCCAGCCTCAGGTCGAAATAGCATACCATATCAACCGTGCATCTAAATGCAAATATATGGCATACTTCCCCCTCGCACGATACCCGTGTCAGCCTAAGCGAGAATGAGATGATCAAGCTTTATCTTTATGGACATGAATGGTTCTCCCCCTTCAAAATGAAATTATTGTGAAACGACATTTGCAAACGAAAGGACGCATGGGGCGTGACCCTGATTTTTGGATCTACTTGGATTCCACTTCTCGACAGTGCCCCTCGTACGACATTGCGCATGTTTCTCCGTAAATGGATCGCCAGTCACGACATGTCATTATGTTTCATCTTACTTGAGCGCAACCACATTTTGTATCTTGTGGCTATCCAAATGTGGTTTTTTTGGTGACACGAAATGTAGCCGGCCATCGAGGTGGACATTTACACTAAAAGTTTTTTTTTTTTTTGGTAACCGAGGTGTCCGGGCCAGCTTGCGCGCACCTCGACTATTCCTCGGGAAAGACTAGCACAGCAACCCACCGCCATGGCCCCTCACTTAAATCACAAGTGCTCAGCTGGGGAATCGAACTTGGAACCAGTGCGCCTAACCACATAATCCCAAGTACGCCCTAACCAACTGAGCTACCCATGGGTGAGTTTTACACTAAAAGTCGATAAGTTAACATAATACAAGAGTTAGTATACGAAAAGTAAATAAAAGTTGATAAGTTAGTCAGAACAATTGCCAATTTGCAAACTATAAAAGTTTCGTTTCGTAGGCCGACATTGACCCCTATTTTTTGGAGGTCGTATTTAGTATTTGGAATCTATCTCAATTTGGTACCGCTATCAATACCCATACCGAAATAGTGTTTTACCCTTAGATGTCCAGTTGATTGCTGCGCCTACTAGTGGCTTTTCACCCCTAAGCACGGCTCATTTGCCAGCTCTTTCACATAGTGGGTTTGGACCTTTGATTTCATAAAATTGTTTATCTTAAAAAGTAGTTTTTGGTTGTCGTTCTCCTAGCGGTTCTTCAATAGGAGGGATGATCAGTTCCTACCTCGAAATTGGGAAGCGGATCGAGCATGGTCGGTTCCCAATTTGTGGAACCAGGAGTCGACCTTATCCACCCTGGAATTGGCAATTAATTTTTTTTTTATGGTTTTGCTATAAAAAAAAATGTATATACTCTAGACCGATTCTTCCCATTCGGTCTCGTCAGTATGGTTCCTCCCTAACAATAGAGAATCGGATCGATTATTCCCGGGATTGATTATTCCCGGTTCCAAATTTGTGGAACTGCGAATTGGATCGATTTTTGCAGGAACCACTCATAATCGGTTAGTTTGATTTGGTCCCTGAGTTAAATCGGGACCGATGCACACTCCTATTGAAAATTACTAGCACAATAAAAAGTCCATACTTTGGAGTACGGAATGATAGAATTCTTTGATCGAGTACAAAAAGGCTGCCTAAGTTCAAATTAATGGCTTGTTGCAAATATTTCTAATAAAACGAATTTGACCTCAACAAAGCTCGTTTCCCTCCCTATTCAAACACAACTACTTTCGTCTGGAAAAAACAGAAGACTATCAGGATAGAGAAGCTTCCATTTTCCAATTCCACCTCTAGAACAAGCAGAGTTTCACTGGACCGCCATCAACATCAATGCGTCACCCGCTACGTACGTCTTCACCAACTCTAACTGCACGACTCACGAGTCAATGAGCGCTTGAGCCTTTGCCAAGAAGGAGGTTTCCTGATGATCTAAATGCAACCTGCTTCTCAGAATCTGCAAATCAATGATGGTGACGGTCTTGTAAATTTTCCAAGAGCACGACTTATAACAGCTGTGGCGGTCGTTGTCGTGTGTAGAAGACGACCTTCTAGAGATGTGGCGAGTGTGAACCGACGTTTCAACCACGCAGACGCTCCCCCCTATGGTTTTGACTTTTCATTTGTCCTCTCCAATGTCTTCATGTCCCCAGTTTTCTGCTCCCCATTTCAGAATTTGAGGCAGTTCATCCACGAATTTGCTCGTGTTTGGAAAACATATACGAGCACAGAACAGTCGGCTGTAGAGTTTGACCGACCGAATCGCAGACAGCACGTGCACGTCGAAACAAGCATGCATAAGCTGCAATATCTCTAGCCAGTAACAAGAGCTGGCGGGAGCGAGACAGATGCGGGTGTGGATTGGTTTTTCACCTTGAACTGGTCTTTCTGGGTTCTGGGTGTGTTTCGATATTAAGAACACTTGCATTACGATGACCGTATGCATTAAACAACGAGAGTCAGACTTTAAAGTGGCCAAACTGTGCATGAATGTCAAACTTCACCTTCACTTTTCTTTGCTTGATAGGACACTTTATTTGAACGTCGCCTTAGTGCCGGGCTTGACAACGTTTTTGTCATGGCGAGTTCAAAGTTAGATCAATTTAGCTGAGCTTAGCTTATTATCTGAACGTCAAGATTCATGATGCTTTTGAAAGCTCTGGGAGTCAATTTTTTCAACTTTAACGGAACGAACTCTGTAAGCTTTAGTCGCATATTTGGTATGGAATTGAAAGTTCCTTTTCCATTGCAGGACTTGAGAGAACATAACCAACATTCACGACTCTTCTAAACTGTAATTGACAGTGTTCCAAATTAATTGGATTGTATGTATTGACATTTCTCTTGCAGAGACTATTCACAGTTGGCAGGTCCAATTTGTTCTCTTCCGACGAGAGTCACAAACATAGAAATTTTGTTCTTTTTGCCTTTTGGCCATTTAACACCGAAGAATTCAATGAGGTTAACTTGGTAGCTATTTGCCTTGTTCTACCATGACAAAAACACTGGCGGAAACAGCAACATCAGACTCGACGACCACACTATTCCTCGACACGTTCCTCACACAATGGTTTGGGAAAGAGCCGCCGCTCGCTCTCAACGAATACTGGATGTAATTTATCAGATCCGGAAACAAAAGAGTCGAGTTGAAATCGACGGTCCATGAGGTCCCATTCCCTTGTGCAGAACCCCTAGCGACTGTAGATCTCACAGTCATCCCGTTCGCATTGTTTGCGTCGATCACAACTTGGTCAATTTCCTTAAAAGGACCATTCGATTGATCCAGCTGGAGGATGTCAATCCCTTTATTCGATCCGCTAAACATGTTGTTCCTGATATTCACTCCGTTAGCAACACCGTTTATCGACTTCAACACTATGTAGGCATCGCCGAGGAAGAAACAATTGGAGATATCTATCTGTACTGGGTCTTCGGAGACTATTCCAGTGTAGTCCAAGTAACAATTCAGTATCCGGGTTTGCGTGTTACCGGGCGACTTCAAATAGATCCCAGTTCCACCAAAGCCCGTCGCTTTATTATAGCAATGTACCCCTGTTATCACATTAGCCTGACCAGACACCATTATGCCGATGGCGGCTGAGAAAATAACCACGTCGGTCACGGCATTATCGTTGCCCATTAAGTTAATGGCCGTGCCAGAGAAGTTACGCTCTCCAGGATCTCCACCTGCAGTGATGTGTTGGCCTAAAAAGGAGTTTCTGATGTAGGTCTCGTGGCCGCCCTGAACTAATATGCCGTTGCTGGTAAAATGGGCAATATAGCAGTTATCGATGCTCGTTCTAAGAGAATTCGGAACCAAAATGCCGCCTCCCCTGTAGTTAGAGTCCAGCATGAGGTCTCTGAAAGTTACGTACTCAAAGTTATACGACGACGAAGATTTACTTGACGAAGGCGCTGATAGATCAATCAGATACCCATCAGTCGGGAAATCATCTGATGCATGTAGTGTTCCTCCGTGAATCTATCAAGTAAATTGAACAGAGTTAATCTAAGAAACCAAATATCAGCCTCACTTGTTCAATAACCTGATTGAAAATACTAGTTGCATTTGGTGTGTCAAGTACTAATTTCTCCTAATTATTAGCGAAAAAAGGTACTGCTCCTATGCATTAACTTAGGAATTTTCGAAATATCTTTCGAAGCCATACCACGATATTTCCGACACCAGCTGTTGGGAAACGCAGGGGATGGCTAATCATGTAATTCCCTCCTTCAAGGCTAATCTGAGCACCTCCGAGATTAGTAATCCCCTCCATCAAGACACCGTCTCCTGAAGCTTGAACCGCATCTGCTAATGCTGACATAAACGCGTCTGTGCTATCTGTATTGCCTGTTGGATCTGCGCCGTAGGATGTAACCGAATATCCTCTTGGACTTGAGGACCCCTGCATCATTGTTGTCGTCATTCTTAGAATTACATTCCACTAAAAACATGTAATAAAGTGAATGAATTCACAGAAAGATTTGATACCGGCTGCGTCGAGGGAGCGACTGAGGACGCTGCAAGAGACACCAAATCACGCCGAAATACCGATGCCTTGAACTCTTGGCTTTTCTGCATTTGCTCGCCGTAGTGACCTCTGAAAATCTGACCCAAATGAGGATATTCTCCATATACGCTCGATACCATCAAACAAGACACCAGCCTTATGAAAGCGAAAGCGAATGCACTTCTTCTCCTTGCCATATTTTCCGCCATCATGATACTCGCGCTTCTTCTACGTTAGCGAGGATTTAACTGTTGAAAGAGGCACACACCATAGATCATGTTTATGTATGCTAGAGAGAGAGAGAGAGAGAGAGAGAGAGAGAGAGGGTGGGGGGGAGAGCATTTAAAAGGGACCTAACTGAGATCCTATGAGGAAAAGGTGTGACCCTTCTCTCATTTATGAAATGGTCACACACACACATATAGGATGGGTGTTATTTCTCTTCTTTTCAAGATTGGCCTGTTTTCTCATATAAAAGACAGTTTGGTCCTTACAGAGAAGAGAAGAGAAGCAAGCAGTTACCCCAAACCCAATTAAGAAGTCTTCACCATGCGTAAGCAAAAAGGCATGTTCTAGGGCAACAAGCATTCAAAATGGTTACGTCAGAGGAAATCCAACTCCAGAATTTCTAAATCATCGCCTGTCAAGCCATTGGCTGGGTCGGTTAGTCTTGTCTCTCGTGATGTGGTATAACTTGCCAATGAAGATTGGTTGATACCCAAGAAATATTAAAGCTAGGGGTTGTTGCAAAGATGGTTGGGTTAGGTTATCCTTTCACTCATCACGTGCAGGGCCCCCCGTGCAGATCAATGAACACTTTCATCTCTTTCACTTTGTATCCAACCCAAAACACCCATCGACGTTGCAGAATGATTCGTTCGATAAGTCGAGTGCCCAACTGTTTTCCCTTAAAGCTCATAGGTCAATGGCTTATCTTGATGGTTGCTGTAGTTTTACATCAAGGACAGATAAGTTTAAAGAGTTGTTCAACCACAACAGTGATCAGCTTCTCGATGGTCGCTGTAGTTTTACATCAGCTTTGACAAAAGTATTATAGTGTTACCGTCGATATTAAACAAAGGAAAAGAGAGGCTTTTCGCAGGAGAATACTGAAGGGAAAAGGAGAAACACGACACTAAGAGAGAGGGAGGTGGTCGGCCACACTGCAAAGGTAAAAGACGTTTTCGCGATTCCATTCCAACCTCTTTCTTTGTTCCGACTATGGAAAAGTCGCGTCTGAAGGCCAGGAGAATGATCACGCTTCAAAAGAGTTAAAACCCGAGAATAAGTGTCAACCCGGCTTTAGGAGATCTTGAGATTCCCGCAATCTTTTTTTCCCCTGAAGCATGTGAGGTACGAACCTTTGGTTCAATAATCAAACATAAAGAAATGGCCCCCAAAAGAAAATCAATGATAAGATTCTGAATTATGCATCTAAAGTTGTGTTCCACGTTACAAAAATACAGCAAATATAGTCTACATGTTCTAACATATCTTGTTGTTCGTAAAATTCTGAACGTGTCAACGAACGTGTTGAACAAGTAATACAATGATGAGAAGAGTATCGTCCTACAGAGATTGATGATTAATAAACAAATTAAATATTAAAAATGGACTAATTCTAAAATTTATCTAGCAGATTAAAATAGAATTGAGAATAAATAAAAATTAACAATCTTGGAAACAAAATTTCGGAATTAAAGGCAGATAATCGATAAAATAAAATAGGGTTAATACCACAAAAATTCCAAACTAGTATACCCGCGACTAATTTACCCCAACTAATTTTTTGACCACGAAAAATCCCAAACTGGTACATCCGTGACAAATTTACCCAAAACTAATTTTTTAGTCACGAAAAACCCCAAACTCATACACCTGCGATAATTTTACCCAAAACTAATTTTTTTACCACGAAAAATCCTAAAATGGTACACCTGTGATAAATTTACCTTCTCTTAATTTTCGTCAAATTTTACCGTTAAATTTGCTAATGTAGATGACACATGGTGACGTGGCATGGTGACGTGTCCATAGGGTAAATACCATGAAAAACCCCAAACTAGTCTGCTAATGAAGGGTGGATTTGTGATTGGATTACCAGTTTGGGGTTTTTGATGGTCAAAAAAATTAGTTTGGTGTACTAGTTTGGGGTTTTTCGTTGTAAAAAAAATTAGTTTGGGCTAAATTTGTCACATGTGTACCAGTTTAGGATTTTTCGTGGTATTAACCCAATAAAATATGTTATAGCATTCGATTTCACCATAACCACTAGATATGAATTTCAAATCATTATGCATACAAGAATAATATCAAACATGTGATAGCGAAATTTCCTAGTCTATTTGCTATCATATCTCTAGGTATAGCAAACCTACTCAGTCTATCAATCCACTATATCTCTATGTGAATTTAAATAAACATAAGTATATTAAAGTATGTGAATATTCCTGGTTTACAATGAATCTTCTGAACCATCTTATCACCGAAAGCTACACAAATAGCATGGTATACTTCTATCCACATTTAATTCATGGTTATATATTATAAGGAGCAATTGCATATTATCACTTCTTAGTCTCAAACATGCACATCGAATCATTCAAATGGTGGCCAGTCACTTTTAAGGCATTAAGCACAATAATATATAACTCACATGAATGAAATCACTTGCAATGCATGAAAAGCATAAAATTCATATCATTATGGTCAGGCTACATCGTAGCCCCAACAAAAGAAAATTATAACATAATAGAAGAAGAAACGAGAATATAAATTAAACCAAATATCTTGAATTAAAGAACAAGAATTATGTTACTACCTTTTGTCTTCTCTTCAAAATACTTGAAAAACTCCAAGAACAGTGAAAACAAAAATGATAAAAAAAAAAACTAGTTGTCCCCTATGCTCTCAAAGTTATCCTATTTGTAGGATAATATCCAAGACTCCTATCACAAGGCACTTGCTTCTTTTTCACATTAAACTAGGGAATAAATCGTAGAATTTCCGATTTGGTATCAACATTCTAACTTTTCTCTGGGTAGCATATTCCTTTCCTTCTTTTTGTCATTTTTTCCTTATTTTCTCCATGTCTCATTATTCTGCATAAACAAGGAAAATTTGAGTAAATAGAAGGAAATCCAAATATTTTCTCATAAATATTGCATTATTTATTGCCTAAAGTAGGTAAAATAACTCTATTTGTATAGAGTTATCACTTATAGCGAGCTTGAAGGGAATAATAGACTTCAAAAGACATCTATAATAAAAGAGAAAATTACCCACTAAGTCCTAAACTTATTGCACGGATGCCAATTTAGTCCTAAATCTTTGCACAAAATTCCAATATAGTCATTTCGATCAATTTTTGCAAGAAATTGCTAATGTAGCGTTGTGCCGTGTAGGATACCCGGCCACGTCAGGGATTTCCCACGAAAATTGATTGGAAGAGTTACATTGGAATTTTGCACAAAATTTTATGATTAAATTGGTAATATTAAAAAGTTTATGATTGAATTGACATTCGCACAATAGATTTAAAATCGATTGGGTAATTTTCTTGTAATAACAAGATCTTGATCTTCACTTAGCCAACATATGTGCATTTTGCATCTATAAATATAAGTCCTCATCTCCCACGAAATTTGATTTGGAGAGGAAATCCATCATTAACTTTCTATATGAATGTGATGATCCCACCCTTTGGTTTTAGTTTTACGCCACTACCTCCCCTTTTGAAATTTCATCAAGTCTAATTACTTAAAAAATAAGATTTGATTTTGCTTTTAGGCACGAGTAAATGGAGATAATTGCTTCTTTTCACATTCTAGTAGGTCAAGTGTCAAACTTTTCGCTTTCTATCAATGCCGTTTTCCTCACTGTCGATCATTTTCTCCATTTCTCCACTCCATTTAGCAACGCAACGTGAACCGTCTTCCCACGTGAAAAGAGATGCTAATTCTATAACTATCGCATATAAACAAGGAATTACTAGTTCTCAAATGGGATAATTACACAAAAGATCCTTGAATTTTGATCAAATGTGCAATGTCGTCCTCGAACTTTTGATTTGTTCAATATGATCCGTGAAGTTTAGCCCAACGGGTGATGTCATCCTCGAATTTTTAATTTATTCAGTGTAGTCCCTGAACCTTTGGTAAATGTTCAATCTAGTCCCCGGACTATATATAAATGTCCAACGTTTTCCTTCCATTAGTTCAAGAACCACATTAAATCAATTAAAAGTTCATAGACGATATTACACATTTGGGATCACATTGCACATTTGGGACGATAGTAACATTTTTATATAGTCTAGGGACTAAATTATACAAGTATCAAAAGTTCAAAATTCATACTGAACAAATTAAAAGTCAGGAATGACATTGCACATCTGGCCAAAGTTCGAGAATCATTTACGTCATTTTCCCTTCTCAAATGAATGGTCCTATGTGAATTTTTCAAAGGGAATTTCAACCATGGATTTGCGGGGCGAGGAGCTTCTCTTATGCTACAAATAAGGCTAATGGGGTTGGTCCCCCATCGGCCATCATGTGAAGAAGAACCCTAAAGCCATCGCACCAGAGCAAAAAAACGTGTATGGCGCAGGTCCACGATAGCCTTTTTTTAGAGGCCTAATTCCCTAAAAAATCCTAAACTTTAAGTCTAGACCCAAATCTGCCCCAAACTTTTTTTTGCTACATAAAAAACCTCCAACTTTGTATGGATTCCCAAATCTGCCCTCCGTTGCATTTCCATCCGATCTACATCGTTAAGTCCACTGTTGTGCCACGTGTCAATCTGTCTTCTTTTATTTGACTTTTTCTCTCTCCTCACTATCTCCCAAGTTCACATTTTTCATAATTCTCGCTCTTTGTCACTCTCTTTCTCTCTGTCCCACATTAACGACGTCGAAGGTGATGACCCCAACGATGTCGTCGAGAGCGAATCGGGATCTGCGGCTCCGGTCGTCTATATCATCCTCCCTCTCCGCTCCGATCTCCAATCTCCGGGACCACCACAACGCGCCACGCCGCCGCCGCCGCCGCCGCCGCCGATAGCTCCGGCTGTCACCATGGACTACCTCCTCAAGAACATCTACTCCGACGACGGTCCGCCACTTGCCGGCCCCTCGCTATTCAACCACGGCGGGGTGCCGCTGCCGAGGCGGGGCGGCGCGGAGTCGGGACGACGGTGGACGAGGTGTGGAAGGAGATCGTGGCGGGGAGCGACCGGGCAAGCGGCATGTTAGAGGAGGAGCTGACTCTAGAGGATTTCCTGATGAAGAACGGGGCTGTGAGGGAAGAGGACGTGAGGACTGGTGGTGGTGGTGGTGGTGGTGGGGGAGCAAGGGGTTACTGCGGGGACGCGGCGGGGGATTTGAACGGGCATTTGATTCAGGTGGGGGGGACGGTGGGCGTGGGCGTGGGCGACGGCGTTAGTAACAACAATGGCGGAATTGTGGGGAGATTGATGGTCGAGAGAGGGAAGAGGAGGGCCGTGGAGGAGCCGGTGAATAAGGCCACGCAGCAGAAGCAGAGGAGGATGATCAAGAACCAAGAATTGCCGACGAGGTCCCGAGAACGCAAGCAGGTAATTTCATTTGGTCTTCTCTGTGTGTCATGAGCTCTCTCTCTCTCCCCTACAACACCCAGATCTGCCCTTGCTCGACAAGCTTCCACACCTTTTGGTCATGGAGTAGGGAATCCAGACCCCCGGCATCGTCATCGTCGGCAACCGGTCTTCCGACAAGTCGAGTGTCCTCGAGTCCTTCGCTAGCATCAACCTGCCATGAGGCCTTGTACAGGGTGCGGACCACCATACGATTTGTGGACTCATGGTCCTCCGGATGCTGAAGAAGAAAATGAAAATTTTCTGCTAACCTTTGCTTTGGGTTCGATGGAGAGAGAGAGAAGATGGAGAGTTCCAACAGTCAATGATGTGGAACTTGGGCGAGGGTGGGGGGAGAGAAAATGAAAAGGAAAAAAACGAATAAGAAAGTTAGACAGGTACGTGGACTTTAACGTGTACATTGGACGGAAACCTAACGGTGGGGTAGGTTTGGGAACTCATTAGAAGTTTGTGGTTTTTTAAGGGACAAAAAAGAGTTTGGGGTAGATTTGGATCTAAACCTAAAGTTGGGGGTTTTTCAGGGAATTAGGCCTTTTAGATTTGCTTCTGCATGGTCCAATTTTGTTTAAATGGTGTTGCATTAGGTGGTTTATTAGCTGTCCTGACCATTAACAAGTACGTGCCCTTTGATCACCTTTGTGACCACTCGATGCCAAATCTATTTTTATTATCCTTACACACTAAAGTGGGCACAAAGCCTGCAATAAAAGAAGGGGCCGAGGCATCAAAGTCCATTGCATTATTGCCATTTGCCACGGCGCAATCTTTGCTTACACAACTTCACTTCGATTTGCTATTATGAAAAGGAAAATTATTGCCCTCACGTCAAAGTTGCCAATTGTTGAATATAAGTACAAGTAAGCCGCGTCGTAGAAAGGTACTGGTCCGTACGAGTATTCTGAATTATCACCATATACTAATAGTTAATGATAATCACCAATTCGATCTTAGTTCTATTGTGCGGATGCCCATTCAATCCTAAACTTTTCAATCTTGCCGATGTAGTCATGAACAATTGCGGCAAAATTTCAATGTAGTCTCTCCGGAAAATTGATGTCAAAAATCGCTGATGTGGCGTTTTGTCCACATCGGCGTGCCACTTAGGACGGCCGGCGATAATTGAACGCCATGTCAGTAATTTCCAACATCAATTGACCGGAAGGACTACATCAGAATTTCTCGTAAAAGTTTAAGATTACAATGGCAAAATTAAAAAGTTCAGGACTGAATTGATATTTGTATGGTAGGTTTATGATCAAATTGATAATTTTTTCGTACTAGTTAGTTTCTGATATAGGAACTTGCTAGTCACGTGAACGAGTTACTAACCACGAAACTATTCTTAACTTTTTATATAGGAAATTACAAACTAAGTGGAGAACACAAACGAATAACTCAACTGGTTAAGTTTGGAATAATCCTCAAATCTGATTAACTTGGTTGCTTCTTGTTAAAGAAGATGAGGCTATAAGCCCAGCAAGATAGTGGGCTGTGCCTAGTGTGGTCATGTGCTTCATGCCCAACAAGATATTGGGCTGTGGGGAAAATTACCAAACAAACTGGAGAAGAATACTAGAAGTGCTAAAACTTGTGTACGACGCTCACTTTAGTGCCAGAAGTTTTCGCTGGATTACTTAAGTTTCAAATCGGAGAAAAAACGATCACTTAAGTTCCAACTGCGAGAAATTCCGGTCAAATTAATACGTGGCTTTTATAATTAAAATTTTAATCTAAGTTACGTTTTTTTTATAAAAAAATCAGTCTATGTGACATTTTCATGTGTATATTTTGATTTTTTAAATAATTTTCTGATTTTTTTCTTTTTCTACCTTTGGCCGGTGACTGGACATTGGCCACCAGCCATGGCCGATCTTCTAGCCTCGCCCGGACGAGGCCACCATCGCCTACCACAGGCAACTGCCAGCCTCGCCCAGCCCAGATCTGGGCGAGGGCTCCCCTCGCCAGATCCGGCGAGGCCGACCCTCACCCAGGCCACTGCGGCCTCGCCGAGGGCCGTCCTCGCCGGATCTGGCGAGGGGAGCCCTCGCCGGGGCTCAACCACCCTCGCCCAGGTGAGGCTCCTAGGCGAGGGCGGGTGAGCCTCGGTGAGGCTGGCCATCGCCCAGGCGAGGGTTGGCCTCGCCTCACCTCGCCTAACCCAGATCTGGGCGAGGGTGGGCGAGCCCCAGCGAGGGCTCCCCTCGCCAGATCCGGCGAGGGCTGGCCTCACCGGGGCTCGCCCGCCCTCGGCCAGGTGAGGGTCGCCCGGGCCTTACCTATAGCAGGCGACGGTGGCCTCGTTCGAGCGAGGCCAGGCGGCTGGCCATGGCCGGTGTCCAGTCACCAGCCAAAGGTAGAAGAAGAAGAAAGACAAGAAAAAAAAACAAAAAATCAAAAAAAATATTTAAAAAATCGAAGTGTACATGTTAAACTACATTGTTTTAAAGTGTATATGCTGATTGTACATGCTGACTAAACTTCCGTCGAGCCACATCGGCTTCAGAAATTAATAAAAAAATGCCACGTTGGATTTCCGGCCAAATTAACCGGAGTTGACACTTAAGTGATCATTTTTCAAAAAGGTTTGCACTAAAGTGATTCGGCGGAAACTTTTGGCATTAAAGTGAGTGCCGTACACAAGTTTTGGCATTTCTAGTGTTCTTTCCTCCCAAACAAATCTTAAATTTATTGCATTTGTGCCAACTCAATTCTAAACTTTTGAATTGAGCCAATTGAATCTTAAACCTTTTCACTTTTTACCAATTGCCAATTGAGTCAATTTGGTTAATTTTGATCGAAAATCCGTGGCCATCCTACATGGGGCCCGTTTGGTTCGGCTTTTCAAATACTATTCGGGGGAATGCAAATACCTTTAGGTGAAAGTCACTTGGGAAAATGCAAGTGGTGTTTGGTAAAAAAAAATTTGTAAAGCTACTTTGGCCTAAATAGTGTTTGGTAAATTTTTTTTTGCAAAGGGCTTTGGCAACTTTTATTTTTAATATTCCGATTTGCCCCTATACTGTTCATCTTCTTCACCGGCGAGGGTGGCCGACGAGGGCGGATCTGGGCGGCGAAAGGCCGGCGAGGTCGCCCGACCCAGGCGACGGCCGCCTGGGTTGCGCGAACCCAGGCGGCCGTCGCCTGGGTCGGGCGACCTCGCCGGCCCTTCGCCGCCCAGATCCGCCCTGCTGGCCCCTCGTCGGCCCTTCGTTGCCTTCGCCGGCCCCTTGCTGGCCATTCGCCGGCCAGATCCGCCCTCGCCGGCCACCCTCGCGGTGAGGAAGATGAACAGTAACAGGGGCAAAATCGGAATTTTGAAATTTGAGTGAGGGCAATTTGGGAAGGGAAAAATAGGCTTCAGCATTTCCTAGCATTCCAAATGCTAGCTTTCAGCTTTTCGGATTCGAAAAGCTGAACCAAACGGTTCTGCATTTGGCCAAGGGGCTTTCGAGGCCGAAAGCCCCTTCCAAATGCTGAACCAAACGGGCCCATGGCATGACTGGGGCTAACATTGATATTTTTAAATAATTTTTTAATAATTTTTTTTTACTTTTTTTCATTATTATTTTACTTTTTTTCCCTGGACTTAGGGCTGGCAAGGGCCGCGACACTTTCGCCTGTGATTGGGGAGGATCGAGTGGCCTCGTCGGCCCTAACTCCAAGGAAAAAAAGAAAATGTAAAGAAAAGAAAATAAGAAAAAAATTATAAAAACATTCAGAACGTTATTTAATAATGTTCACATCAGCGCCGGCTGTGCCACCGAAGATGGCCAGTGTCTACGTTAGCAATTTCCAGCCAAAATTGGCTAGATGGATTCAATTGACAAAACATGAAAATGTTTAGGACTCAATTACTATAATTAAAAGGTTTATGATTGAATTTGCGTAAATGCAATATGTTGAGGACACTTTCGGTGATTCTCCCTTGAGTTGTGCCTAATGTGGTCATGTGAATCATTCTCTAGATTGGAAACTCCCTTGTCATGACATATTCCATAACTTTCACGTTTACTTGCAAGGACTCTTCTCACGACTTGTCTCGTGTGCTTGCATGTTTTTGACTTGAATTCCTCCAAGCTTTCACACCCGCCCTCATAAATTGAATTTCCCCTTTCATTTTGCCAAATTCATGCAAGATTCGGCCTAGCTTTAGTACCCTCACTTGACTTCGACCGTGATATTTAGAATACTTTGGTCGAGCTCCCCGATTAAGTTGGGTAACTTTCACCCTTCAAGCAATAAAAACTATACATGATCAAAGCACGTGTCGATTTTTCATTAAGCGCCTCTGAAAACGATTTGTTGTGGAAAATGGGTAATTACGATTGCCAAACATAAAGGTCACAACACAGTTATAGTAGGACAAAATAATAGGCTCTATTTGTGCACTCTTTTATTGGTACTCTAAGATGAGGTTTACATGTCATTCGAAATGGATTATTTTGGTAAATCACAAGGCTCGAGGTGGTCTACAAGGGGCGAAAAAGTGTTTCTTGGCTTTGAAAACATTGAAATTACCACTAATTGGTTTTTGGTTCTATTAATTAAGGCCGATTGCACCTTAGGATCCTCAATAATTTTTAGGGAACTAAGCTATCCATATGCACATTTGAAGGTGACTGGTCTATTGGGAGATTAGAGATTTATGGTCCGGGGGTTTGGTTAAGTGTGAAGAAGGGTTATCACCCTCGGAAGACTCTCTCGATGTCATATTCTTAATTAAGTCCTTGAAACTTCTTTATCATTTGATTTTCCATAATATGACTTGAATTTTCAGTTGTATGAAGGCCTAATCAGGCAAAAGATTCGCATCGGGTCACACCTTGGGAGTGACCTTCTTGCGCCTTGTGTACTTTGATTTCCCATAATACGAACTTGTTTTTCAATTGTATGAAGGCGGAATCAGGCAAACGATTCGCATCGGATCATACCATTGGGAATGACCTTTGTGTGCCTCGTGTACTTTGTGCATTTTGAAAAAAAATTGAACCATGTAGTATGAATGATGACGGCGTGGCATCAATGATACGTAATTTAAAATGGCATCTAGATGACGCATCGTACTTTGTGCATTTTGAAAAAAAATTTGAACGCATGTAGTATGAATGATAACGGCATGGCATCAGTGATACGTAATTTAAAATAACATTTAGATAACGACGCGTTATGCGACAATAGATCATGTGATGACGTGTCATATGAAGACCTACAGTGCGATGATGTGTCGTGCAGTGCGATGATGCGTCGTGCAATGGCATATCGAGTGATGATCAATTGTTGTAATAACTTGTGTCATTAATCAATTTTGGACAATTTGTTTAGCGGGCGAGAGGACGCGAGATAAGTTTTGACGCCGTCCGAGTCAGAGTCGGACTCCCCCCCCCGGTCGCCCGCCACGTCGTCGCAGTAGGGGGGGACCCCACCGCAGGCCACGCGGCGGCCTCCCATTGGCTCCCTGGAGCAACGCGGGGGGGCATCTGACGTCAACCTCAGAATCTATATGTCGTCTCGAGAGATCCAACGACGGCCAGACGGACAACTCCAATCTCATTCTCACCGAGAGCGCGCGAAAGAGGGGCGACGCATAAACCCTAGCTCCTCCTCCCTCCTTCCTCCGTCCGTCTCCGGCGAGCCTCGACGGAGATCGATCGAGAGAGGTCTGATATCGGAGGCCGCCGATTTGAGGGTTTGCCATGGGGAAGAAGAAGAAGAGAGCGGCCTCGAAGGTGTGGTGCTACTACTGCGACCGGGAGTTCGACGACGAGAAGATCCTGGTGCAGCACCAGAAGGCCAAGCACTTCAAGTGCCACGCCTGCCACAAGAAGCTCTCCACCGCCTCCGGCATGGCCATCCACGTCCTCCAGGTCCACAAGGAGGCCGTCACCAAGTAAATCTCTCCCCTTCCCCTTCCCCCGTTTGCTTTGATCGTCCGGTGCTTTTTGATTGGTGCCGTCGGTTCGGAATTCGTCTTCTCTTTTGTTGCCTGTCGTTCCCGTTTTTATCATGTTCTGTCGAAGAAATTTAGTGATCTTTTTGATCCGGTCCTATGTAGTTTGCCCAATTTTTTTGATCCTGGCGACAATTTTGGGATTGGGATGCTCTTTAGGTTTGGCTTGTTTTGGGTTGGTAGGGGTGGATGAGAATTCTATTTGCTGGGATGATCTTGAACTCACCGAATGGTGATTGTTTAAAGTTCACTTGTTTTTTTTTTTTTTTTAGGGATTTATGAGAAGTAGGCAGTTTTGTTTACGGTGATAATCCACCTAGTTTGAGCACGGAAAGTGAAACAGCGACCTTAATTAGATGGTTTTTCTCCCTTTTTTTTTTCTTTAGTATGGTTTCTGATTGGATGAAGTTTGCCTTTTCATTAAAGTTGTATATTCCATAGACTATGCATTAGATTTGGCCAGTGTCTCGGATTTTTTTTTCTTTTAATAGGTGAAAGAAAATATTACTAAGGGGAACCAAAGGGGGTGCAAACCCGTATCGAAAAAGAGCTCATTTACGGGACAAATCATCTACAATGTCGACTAAAGCATTTACATCCATACATAACTTTCCACTATACTCAAATGTAAGATTTTCAGCCAACTTTTTATTAGCTATGAAAACAGGTGTCTCCCTCTCTTATTCCACTCTTTCCGAATCAACCAAACGACAGCAAGAGGGATTGAAGAAATCTTCCTTTTCTTAGCATGAGGCAAAAGAAGACCTTGACATGCCCATAATTCTTGTTCAACAGATCCTCCTATAACCCAAGAAAGCCCAGTGCACGGATAAGTGGCCGCCCAGTTCAGCTTGTCCGTCGATAGTGAAGGAGGAGATGTCTCACCGTCTCTGCCTCTCCCTTTCAAAGAAAATCATCTATTGACCAGCCCAATCCCTCTTTTCTACAAATTGTCTAATGTGTAATGTGCTCCCAAGATGCTTCCCAAACTAAAATTGAAAGTCTAGTTGGTACTCTCACTCTCCAGATAGCTCTCCAAGGAAAAACCTTACCTACCACCGACAGATAAAAAAATCTGACAAAAGACTCGAGATAAAGTGGCCACACAAGCGGCCGGTGTCCTCATTTTCTTTTCCAACTTTAGTTTCCTTGCTCTAAAGCTTTCTATTTTTGACAGTTTATTCTGTGGTGCTTTTGTTATGCAGAGTTCCTAATGCTAAGCCTGGTAGAGAATCTACTGAAATCGAAATATACGGAATGCAAGGAATCCCACCTGATGTCTTGGCTGCTCATTATGGAGAGGAAGGTGAGGATCGTCATATGTGCATGTGGCTGCGCTATGTATTTATGTGGTGATAGAAAGTCTATTTGAACTAATTGGGCACTTGGAGTGCTTCTATCTAGGTGTTTTATTTTTTCCTTATTCATTTTTTTAAGCTAACTGAAGGTAAGACTTGGTTTGTAGTCATCATATGCCCGTGAATTTTTATCTTTTAGACTCTTTTGAAGATGCTCGATCTTCTGGGGTAATGATATCCTCGATAGAGCCATGAGGATTTTAGAGGTCTAGCTTTGGCGTAACAATTAGGGTAACCCCTTGTGAGTGGAAGGTCATGGGTTCGAGTCATGCAAATGACCTTTCTTGGCACTTGCATAGCTGGGAGTTTCGTACACTTGGGGATCATTATTAGAGCCATACAGTCGTGTTGCGCCTATTGATTGGCTAAGGATCCAGTTACACCTTTGAGCTGTTAAAGTATACAGTAGATCCATTTAAAATGGGTGGATCATTTTTTGTTTTTCATGCTGACCAGTGGACCCTGAATAATCTCTTATGATTTGTTATTTGTTCCACTTATGTCTGGACGCTTGCTTAACACTTCTCTAGAAATCTTTATACTCTTAAATTGTGGTAGAGCTATTGTTTTTTTTGGCAAGAGAGGTGTCGAATTATATGATGGAACTTTGCATTTTAAAAGCAAACGATACAATAAGTATGGATTGTGTGTCTACATTTCAGCAATTTGCTTGACTTTATGTGATGCCGGGTTATATAGGAGAAAAAGAAGAGGTATGAGATTTTACTTATGGAGTACTGAAGGGCTTTGATTAGGGGTGATATAGTTGGATTCCCTAATGCATTTTTTTGTTGGCCTCCTAATAACGTGTATATTTAAGAGTTACATTTGTGAATTTAAGTCGAGTTTTGCTTAAAGGAAAACAAAGTCTGCATACATAAGTATCTGACGTTTTTAACAGGTCAATTGGGTCTTCGTTTTGACTTAAAAACCGATTCAATCATTGGGGTAAAATATTTGGACCTGGTTGGGTACTTTCTATGATTAGATTATGTCAGTTTTGATGGTTTCTTTGAGAAGTTGAACTAACTTTGCTATGTCTAGTATGCATGGGAAATTTTCATTAAAAGAAATGGATGGCAAATGATGAATGTTCGCTGCCTTAATATTTAGAACTTTTTGCAGATGAGGAAGCTCCTCCTAAAGTTGCCAAAGTCGAGCCTCGATCTGCCCAGCTTGCTGCTAACATTGTTCCTGGAGCATTGGGGGTCAGATATCCTCCTCAGCCGACCTTAGGCACAGTGCCGCCGGTGTAAAGTTTTATCTGATTATTTTTATCCCTTTTTGAGCTGCATAATTTCTCCTCATGTTGTAATTTATTGTCAGTAGTTTTTAGCTGTAAAAATTAGGAATCTCTGTTTTTCTTAATTTTGATGCCCTGTGGTAATGCAGTCTGTCCTTTGGCTTTGCTGGTGCAGTATGGGTATCAGGCCATCACATGATAGAAATTATGTTCTTATACAATTTAATTTGGTCACAATAAAAGGTGGAATCATGAACTGATAATGAATGAGGTGTATGCTGGTGAATGTAATATCTTGCTGGATGAGCATTTTTAGCCCTCTGTAGATTGTTGTAGTGCATCAGATCTTTTAAAAGTTTTCCATTATATATTGTGTTTTCAAGTCAGGCGGAGCTGACTTTATGCTCATTGATTTATTCTTTTTGCAGTTATAATCCTGCATTATCAGTGCCTCCTGGTGGTTGGGCAATGCCCCCACGTGCACAACCTTGGTTTCCTCCATATCCAGCAGTTTCAGTTACTCCTCCTATGCCTGCCCCTTTGCCTCCAATGCAGCAACCGTTGTTTCCCGTGCAAGCTGCAGTTCCACCCACATCATCTGCTACATTTCCATCTTCGTTGCAGATAACTCCCCCTGGACTGCCTTCCTCCAGTACTTCTCTTCCTGTATCTCAGCCCTTGTTTCCAGTTGGTAATAGCAGTATGACAATGCAAAGTACACCATATGTCCCACCAGGCATCGCTCAAAATTCCCCAGCAGATCTCAAGAGCTTGGTTGCCCATGCTAGTGTCGGTCCAACAATAGCAGGTAGTATTCTGCTTCACTACTCAAAAGGTTTGAATTGTCTTTGGAACTCTTCGATCCCAACGATCACTATTAGTTTGCTGTTGTTGAAACTTGGAAGTCTCCTTTATTTTGGTCTTGCATCATGATCGTCATCTGACATAGTGTCAGAAAATTTGATGCTGGTATGCCAACTTTAGATAATCCCGGTTTTTGTCAAGTGTATATTCAAAATAAAATAGGCAAAATGTTGATTATTAGGCCACAATTATGTGAAATGTCAGTTGAATTGAATTAAATTGTAAGATTCTTGAAAGTAGTCGAAATAAATTAGAAAAGATGGAGATTCGTGTAAAAGCATTATTCAAAACTGAGGTGAAGCACTTAAACGAGAAAATAAATGCGGACATATATTTTTGAATGAGTGATTTATTGGTGTCCAATTATTGAAATACGAGAAACATTGTGTCTGACTATAAGTCTGAGAAACCATCTTGTCTATCTGATTCTGATTCAATGATGTTTTGCATTGTTGGGTAAACAGTGTCTCATAGAAAGATCAAATCTCCATACCTGAGTCTCGCAATCAGTAGCAATGTTTTTTATAGTAATTATTTTGCAAGCATTTTTATTGGTTTGACATTAACATATTTGTTTAAAGTGTGGCTTCTCTGGAATTGGAAAGATTTAAAGATAAAAAAGTGAGTCAATTTGGTTGAGTGAAAAATATGGTGATCATCAAGAGAACCATATATTCTGTTGCTTTTTTATGTGGTCTTGCTCTATTGGCAATGTGGTTTGGCCTTCAACAATTTTCACTATCTGGAGATCTTTCAAATATAGTTACCCTACTGTGAATGATATTGGTGTCTCCTGACCTCTGTAAGTTGCTGTAGATGTTAGCTTCCTGTTACTTCATGCTTAATTAATGTACATAAACTTACATACGAGGCCACTGAGCAACTACTTGAACTGAGCTAAGCTGGCTCTTAGAGATGCATCAACCCTTAAGTGACAGCTCCGCGTCTTTCAGTATAAACCTCTGAGCGAAACAATGTCCTGTGCCTTTTTGTTTTTTTTTCTTTTGCTCGACAACTGCTATACATGAAATGATTTATTCTAAGAGGGTTTTCATCTATAAGATGTGTATTATGTCCATGACTGTATATCATTGGATTGTTCTCTGAATGTGAGTTATGATTTCTGTCATTTTCACTTAATTCTGATCCTTTATGTATTACGGGATTTTTATTTGATTTTTTTATGGCATTTTTTCTATAATAGATGGGTCCGTGGTGAATTCACATTCGTATGCCTCTGGTCCAAACACTGGTGGTCCTTCAATCGGACCTCCTCCAGTAATTACGAATAAAGCTCCAGCAACCCAGCCTGCCACTAATGAAGTCTATCTAGTTTGGGATGATGAGGCGATGTCCATGGTAACTTCTTCCTATTATGTCTGATTGCTTGTTTTACCTTCTTCTATCCTTCCTTTGGCGATGGTTCTTATGGTTGTTACTGAAAACACTTACAGGAGGAAAGAAGAATGTCCCTACCAAAGTATCAGGTGCATGATGAAACTAGCCAGGTAAGTCTTCACTACCTTTTCAACATTCGACGTTGCTATGCACCTCTAACCAAGTAAGTAGGCTAAATGCTTCCTGATTTCGGATATGATTGTACATGAGGTATATATAGAAGGCACTGCCTTAGAAAGTTTCCTATATTTCTTATTTAGAGTTGACGTACCTGAGAAAAAAAATCTAGAATCAAATAATTTACTGCATGAATCGCATTGTCGATGTCGAGCAATATTTTTCTTTAATGGCCATCTTCCAGTCTGCAAGCAATTCACCAACTTGTGGGCATCAAAATCAAGTAGGTATTCATTTTTCCTTGTATCAATCCCAAGCTTGTTGCCATAGGAACAATGATACACAAGTCTAGCATCAACTCTCTTGAGGAGGGTTATTTACAATAACGCATTTCTGATTGTGCTCATTTGTCTTATTCCCGATTCCTAAATGTGGGTTTTGGCTGGGCTGAGGATGTACCAACAGATATTATTTATTGTTAGCATCATTACAATTTACTTTATTGATCGATCAGTCCATTCAGGCTTGGCTCAGGTCAGATTCTTCTGCAATATTTGGTATCTTCGAGGATGAAAAGCTTGATGTATGAGTTGTCCATGAATGGTGATGACTGCTGTCTTCTGATATTTATGTTGCTTTATTTTGCAGATGAATTCAATTGATGCTGCTATAGACAGACGGATATCCGAAAGTAGGCTTGCTGGTCGTATGGCATTTTAGTTCATCCTGGCATTCTGTGACAAATTCTCGGAGGAACCCGAGGTGCTTTGCATGTTACAGTAAGTTCATTCATTTACAGCAGGCAGTGTCGCCAGTTTCGGTCGGGGTTCAACATTTTCTAACTGCTGGGCAATACAGTCAGAATTGTATCATTTGCAACCTGGTTGGAAGGATAGTTCTTCCTTAGTTGAGTTTTCCCTTGACTGAGTTAGGAAATTTCCTCTTCCATTTCTTCATTCTTGAGGGATGTAAGAGTGCAAGTTAACCCATTTGTTTTCGATTATTTTAGGCGACAGTGTTTCTGCATAACTATTTGGTGTTGTAGGCTGGGATACACGTATCATTCCTTTTTGTCTATTCTTCCCTGTGATATGAAATTTATACAGTATGAAAGCTACTTTGATTTCTTGGATATGAATTCATATTGACGGTGCTTTTGCCATAAATGTAAGCTTGTGGAAACATGCTATATGCCAGTTAACTTGGCTTGTGTGAGATGATTGAATCAGGGTGGTTGCAATTGTGTTGTCGATCCTCTAACAGGCTTGCTGATCAGAATTCCCACCTGCGTCGCCAGTTTAGCGTTGTCTCTTTAGTTTGCAGAGAGATTTCTTGCACGCGGCAGCCGAAAACATTTCATAGTGTAAGCATGATTCGTTCCTACTCATTTTACGTTTTTACCTGAAAGTTAAGCAAGCAGGCGGGGTTAAATTAGTGAGCCACTTTCTTGATTTGTACTTTGTCTAGAGTTAATATTATGTTTTTTTTCCATGCATCGCTCTTGACTTTTATCCCCAATGTGATGCCTTATCCTATGATTTACATACTGTCACAAAGGCTGTTTTGAGAAAACATCGTTAATCTAAGCTTACCTGGTAAAGCAAAAAATTCAGTACCCTGGCTCGCCCATCAACCCTGGAAGATAGGGAAATCAGTTCCCGCCTTTCCGTACCTTAGAGGCACGATGTAATTGACCTTGATAGTCTTGAATGTTCATTCCATCTACTGTAAACGAATTCCTCGAGAGAAAAGAGAGAAAAGATTACCGATTGAGTCAATAAGAAGCTCTTTTTTATATGATTAAGACAAGATATTGAATCGGATCTGTGTTCTCAAGGAAAATCCAAGTGCTGTCAACCAGCTTACTTAAGGGTTCAGATTGAGCTAGTTAGGGAAATTAAGTGGACTATGGAGAGTTCTATGTTGCGTTTGGAAAGGAGGAATCTCTCTCGAAAATGAATCTATTGATTTTCTCCCGATTGGTCGACTTAAATGATTCGGTTAACAGCGTTATGGAAACTCCTATCGTGCACGATCAGTGTCCTGTTGCTTTATACCATATACTTGTATGACTCGATTTGTAGAGAAGACTTTCATGACTTAAAAAGGACAAAGCGTATGATCCAGACACATGCGAAGAGATGCGCCTTGTTGCCGAATCCAACCTGAAAATTTTCATTCCATCAAATATGTAGGATGAAGGGCGCCTAGCAGTTTTTGTCCAGCGCAAAGGACAGCCGTCAACATAAGAAAAACGATTGTTTTTTTAATTTTTAATGACTGAAATAATTTAAACGACTTTAAAATTGTTTTTTTTAAATGCTTGAGGTACTCATTGTGAAAAGAAAAGGGGGATATTACCCAAAAAAATCCAAACTATAGGCTTAATCCCAATTCTGCTATGAACATTATTTTTTATCTAAAAGAAGAGCTCCCAACTTTCACTCTAGTCTCAAATCTTTTCATGTGTCCAAATCGTCACTGGATTCTTGAAGATTATGGGGAGAAGAATAGTAAAAGTGTCAAAAGTTATGTACGGTGCTCACTTTGGTGCCAAAAGCTTCTTTTGAATCATTTCAGTACCAAATTTTTTGAAAAATGATCATTTCAGTGCCAACTTCGATCTGTTTGGTCGGAAATCTGACGTGGCCTTTTTTTATTAGTTTCTTAAGCCGACGTGGCTCGCCGGAGAGTCCAGTCAGCATCTAATCCCTAAAACGACGCCGTTAGTACTCTTTCCCCTAAATAAGAATCTTAAATCCCCAAATTGAAAGAAAATCCCACAATTTGCAACCCTAACAGGCTATTGAACTCCCAATTGAAACCCTATTTAGATTCGCCCCAAAAGTTACGAGCTCAATCTTGCAAATGGAGAGTAGCAGTTTCGGTAGAGACTCAAATTTGTTTCAACGAAGCGAACAAGAGGGTGAATGTTACTGTTTTTGCGGGTTACCGAGTCCAATAAGAATATCTTGGACTCGGTTGAATCCCGGAAGAAGATTTAATGGTTGCGCCATGTATAGAGAAGGCTTGAAGTGCAAATATTTCAAATGGGTTGATGCGAAATTCTCCGCTTGAGCAACAAAGGTGATCTTGGAGCTACTTGAAGGACGCCATCAACCTCTACCTACATTAATGGATGAATTAGAGGATGTGGACTCAATGCAAGCTGAAATGAAGGCTTTAGCATCTCTGGTCAACCATTTGAAGAAGGAAGTTTCAATGATGAAAATTGAAAGAAAGTGTTATCAAGCATTAATTGTGTTGTTATTCTGTTGTGTAGCCTATTTTATGATCAAATGTAAAGCGAGTAATGAAAAGAAGTTTCTCAGTCTACCACAGTTGAAGATGAATGGAATATGTATTTGTATTGAGTAATTTGTAAGTATAGTTGTATTAGCCTATTTTTGTATGGAACAAAAGTTTGCCGTAATCTATGGTGGAAATGGAAGGTTAAAATTCATTGGTTGTGAGCATTTACTTGTTCTCTTGCTTAGTTATGTATTCTCAATTCTTATTTGCTTAGTTTTGCTTGAGATGTTTGGATTGCTGTAATGGTTTACTGGTATTGTTGGTAATTGTTTGCTGGAGTGTTCGCTGGTAATGGGATGTGGTTTGCTGCAAACGCTTGTCAAATGAAGGAGTGGTACCAATTTCACAAGTCATTATTTCATTGTTATATGTTGTAAATAGCGATCGTTTGAGTGCCAAGTTTTGCTGAAACTGATCACTTAAGTGCCAATTGTGGTGAAAAGTGATCAACTAAGTGCTAATCATGGTGAAAAGTGATCACTTAAGTGTCAGTTATTGTTAAAAAGTGATTATTTAAGTGATAGTTGTTGATATGTTCGTTTTACTGGTACTGCACCAGCAACAAGCACATAGTTGGTGTACTTGCTTGCACCAGCTATGTGTTGGTACAGAGTGCATCTTATTCTTGCACCAATACCTAGCTGGTGCAAGCATAAGATGCCTATGTGTTGCACCGACACATAGCTGGTAGACTAGCGCACTAGTAGCTTGCACCTCGCACCAGCATCTATCACTGTTGGTGCAAGCCTTGCACTAGCCACCAAGTACCACCAGCACCAAGCCTTGCATAAGCCAAGCACCAATAACACCTCCACCAAGCCCTGTATCAGCACAACCACCAGTACCATCACCAAACCATGCATCAGCCAAGCACCCCGAATACCTTCACCAAGCCTTGTACCAGCCAACCATTATCACCACCAGTGCACCATTACCACCACCACTGCACCAGCACAACTACTGCACCACCACTACCTACATTAGCCAAGCAACACCACCACCTCCACTGTATTACTACCACCAGTGCACCACCAGCACCAACACCACACCAGCACAACCACAACACGACCACCACCACCACTGCACCACTACCACCAGTGCACCACCAGCACTATCACTACACCAGCACAACCACAACACCACCACCACCTACAACAGCCAAGCCACACTACCACCACTGCAGTACCACCTACACCAGCCAAGCAACACCATTGCACCACCACTAGTGCACCACTAGCACCACCACTGCACCAGCACAACCATAGCATCACCACTACCTACCCTAGCCAAGCTACACTACCACCACTACTTACACCAGCCAAGCAATACCACCACCACCACCACCACTGTACCACCACCACCACCACCACTGTACTAGCACAACCACATCACCACCACCACCTACATCAGCCAAGCCACACTATCACCATTGCACCACCGCCACCACCACCGCACCAGCATAGCCACAGCAGCAGCAACACCACCACCTATACCAAGCAAGCAACACCAACACCATTGCACCATCACTACCACTGCACCACCACCACCTACAACAGTCAAGTTCAACTAGAACATCCAATAGAACTAGCACACTAGTAGCACAACTAGCACAATCAATAACAAAATATGAAAATTTCAAAAGCATAGACAAAATAAATATCAGTCCATTGACATTAAACTTAGTTTTTACATTTGGTCAATATGAATAACCAACAAAAACATCAATATCTAGGGAATGGCTTCCCACCAAACAAAAACATTCAATTAACTCAACGCCATACAATATCAATCCCATAGATCAATATGTACAACCTCCTAACAAAAAATAAAAATTATTATATTTAGCACCCTTCCATCAGTCAATATGCGCAACTCCTCCAGTTTCTTTTCCTTTAAATGGACATTTGACTTGATTCATGATCCTTGCACTCTTTCTAACTAGACGTCCAGGTTCTTCAACTAGCCTTCCTGTCCCATATACTTTCTTCTTTGCAGCTGCCATTTTCTTTGTAGACCGTGTCATTTGATGAGAGCTCTCAGTAGGGTCATTGTTGGTGTCAGGATCACTTGGTTGAGATGCAACTGGTGTTGGGTTTCTTGTTTGTGGCTATTTTGGAGCTGCACCCGATGTCTTCTTCTTTGGAGTAATGGTCTTTGGCGCTGTCCCCCTTGTCTTTCTTCCTGCCACTTGGGTTCCTGTTTTGGGTGCAGCCTTGACTCTTAAGTTGGGCCACCTTGAGAGATAAATACTTCCGAACTTCTCCCAAGCTACAATATCATAACCATATTGTCAATAAAAGAAATACCATAAATAAATTAAATGCAGGAGTCCTATAAAACTTATATTCAAAATAATCATTTCAGTACGCTCGTCTGTGAAAATGCCATAACCATATTGTTTTAGCCTTTTCCCGAGAGCCTCTCTTGTTCGCAATGGCGCCTCACTTTCAGCAACTTTTGCAATTGGTCTTGTTCTCACCTTACAAAGACATATCAAAGTTAAACTTTAGCCTAAAAAATAACACAAACACCAATTGTGTAGCTTACGGGATAGTTTCTCCTCGTCTGTTCAATAGTCGACTGAGTGGTTGGCCCTTGCACTGACCTTTCAGTTTGCCCTTGAGCTAGCCCTTGAGTTAGCCCTTGAGTTAGCCTTGCATCAGCCCCTATACTTAGCTCTACAGTAGGCCTTTCAATTAGCCCTTGGGCTGGCCTTGCATTAGCCCCTACATATGGCTATTGTTGTTGATGTTGTTTCTTCAATACGTAACCCTTTTTATTATGCCATTCCTTTTGTTAATAGAAGCACCTCATCTTTGCAC